TATATATATATAGGGTCTCACTACACAGGTTGGACTTGTAGTGATCTTTCCTGTTTTTCAGCCTCCCAAGTACTAGGATTACAGGGGCATACCACCATGCCCAGTCTTAGTCTTCATCTCAGTGCGCCCCAGGGGTGGAAATCGAACCTCAGCCCCTACATCTGCCTAAGCAGGAGCTTTTTGGCTAGTCCTCAAGTTTGTTTTTCTTCAGTAATTAGCAAGAACAAAGGGGCCCATGAAATAGTTTACTTCAGGGACTCACGGAAGAGTGGTAGATGCAGGACTGATGAGGTAAGTGGCGAAAATAGCATTTTTTAAAAAAATGTATTTGGTTGTTACAGAGTCTTACCACACACCTCATACTCACCTCCTCCTGTTTCCAGCCTCCCCAGTGCTGAGATTATAGGCTTGAACCCTATGCCCAGACTCGGTGCCAGCTCAGTTCGCCCTGGGGGCGGGGCTGCTGTGATATGTGTGTGGTGCCGGGGATCGAACCATGGTCCCTGAGCTTGCCTAAACTTGCATAAGCAGGCACTTGAGTCCGCTGAGCTATCTCACTGGCCTAGCATTTTGTTCTTAAGTTTCAATTTCTTGGTTTGCACTCTTATTTTATTTGTTTATGGCCTGGAATTTTTTTTTTTTTCCAGAACCAGGGATTGAACTCAGGCCCTTTTGCCTGCCAGGGAAGCGCTTATTCCACTAAGCCATCTCCCTGGCCCCTGGAATTTTTTTCTATAAGTGTGTGTGTCATTTTTAGGCAAACAGAAAGTTTCAAAACAGGTTAACAGGACAGTTATAATAATTAATACATTGCATATTGTTGTCTTCAGAGTAGTTGTTCATAGTACAAGACTCAGATATGATGTCTTCTCTGAGAAAGTTCTTTTTTTTTCCAGAACCGGGGATTGAACTCAGGTCCTTGTGCTTGCCAGGGAAGCACTTATTCCACTGAGCCATCTCCCCGGCCCCATTTCTTTTAAAAATAACTGGGTGGGGGGGCTGGTGAGATGGCTCAGTGGTCTAAAGCACCTACTTAGAACAAGCTTAGCAAAGCCCAGGGACCGCGGTTCAATCCCCCAGCACCACATGCCCTGGCCCCCCCCCACATAAATAAAAAAAATAAAAAAATAAAAAAATAGAAATAAAATAAAAATAACTGGGTGGCACATGTCCATAGTCCTAACACTCTGGGAAACTGAGGCAGGGGGATCTTGAACTCCAACCCAGCCAAGGCAATTTAGCAGCTTAGTAAGACCCTGTCTCAAATAAAAAGTAAAAAAGCCTGAAGACTTAGCTCAGTGTGAAGCCCCTGGGTTCAGTCCTCAGTACTACAAGATGAAATGAAGCTAAACTAAATGAAGTTAAAAGCCACCTTGACTCTGAATAAGGAGTAGAAAATAAGTTAGAAAACGAAAGGCTTCTGTGTAAGAGAAGTAAAGGGAGAATCATGGGTTTTTTTATTCTTCTAAAAATATTTCGTGGTAGGGCTGGGGAGATGGCTCAGTAGAATAAATGCTTGCCTAGCAAGTGCAAGGGCCTGAGTTCAATCCCCAGTACTGCACGAAGAAGAAGAAGAAGAAGAAGAAGAAGAAGAAGAAGAAGAAGAAGAAGAAGAAGAAGAAGAAGAAGAAGAAGAAGAAGAAGAAGAAGA